TATTCGTCATTGAAAACTCTTATCTTTAGTAGAAAACCTATCCTTTGTGGATAACCATAGTTATGAAATAAACAATATTTTTTCAAAGAAGAGAATCAAAAAATGGAGTACATTAGCAGTATAAGTTGGTAAGTGATTTTTTTTTTACTCATAACTGACCTTAACTTACTGGTAGGTAGTGAGTTGGCCAAGTTGTTAGAGCAACTGAACTTGTGAGGGTGGTAACACTGAAACTAATTGTGAAGAGGTCCTTTGAACTGGGTAATTTAGTGGGAAATGGGCTTCAACTTCAGTAAATGCAAAACAATGCACAGGAGCCATACCTCCCAATTTTTATATCTGAACTTTCTATAATTAGGAAAAAGATTTTGGGCTGATGGTAAACGGTTCAATGAAGATGCTGACTTAAAGTATGAAAAACAGCAGCCCCCAACCTTTTTCCGTAGATCGAGGGGACACGGTCTTAGAAATTGGATTATTGAGGGCTGTTGTTTAAAAGCTTAGTATTACCTCGGGATTGTGGGTGACATACTTATGAATATCTGCTGTAGAGAAACAGTGGTGGGAGAGGAATAACCTTTCTACCTTCAGCATCAGAATATCTAAGAAGCATTTGGTTTGGCTTCTGTGAGGAATAAATTGCAGGACTGTGATAGGTTTTTAATTGAGTCAAAGTTTATTGTAAGATCATTAAATAAATTACTTTTGCAAGATAGCCTGATTTTTCTATGAGTTTTCCCATCATTCTGTCTCTCCAAAAGTAACTCAATTATTTAAGGGTTATAATATTATTTTATATAAATCTATACGTATAAAAGTGAAATACCACTCATGCATCATCACAAAATCTCCAGAACTGTAAAATCTACAAACTTGAAATTTGGCACGTATGTTCCTCTTGGCTTGTAGGTGCTCACTAAGAAAGGATTTTTTGAAATGACCATCACAGCATTAGTGTTTCGTATATTATTATTAACATGCTCTGATGCTAAGGAGTTCTACTCCCCCTCCCCACCTGAAAAGAAATCTGTTCCAAATGCAAAACACAAGCAGAGGAGAGGAGTTTCAGTTTCAGTTTTACAGCAGCAAGCAGCTTTAGTACAGAACAGTTGAGCTAAGCCACACCTAGGCTCCTTCCTGTCTCCTTGCTCACACAGCAAATACTGTTTCACTTTCCAAACAGCCCTCAACCCTCACACACACTGAAAGGACGTTAGCCAGATGAATACCAAAGAATGCTAATAGGCAGAGCAGAATCCCTCCCCCTTATTTTTCTCCCCAAAAACTAAGCCTGACCACATAGTTTTGTAGCTAAGCACAGGTATCGAGCTAGCATGATTATATAATGCCAAATAGAACTTGCTAATTAATTCTGTTAAGTGTCATTGGAATTCACTCTATTAGGTTATTGGAATTCACCCACAAGGCCTTTAAGAGGTTTTCTTCAAACTGCTGTTGCTATACAATTTTGTTTTGTTTGTTTTTTTGTTCAGAGAAAACATATTAATGAAAGAATTGAGATAGAGACATTTTATCAGTATCAATACTTCTATCACTAGAAGTAAGCTTGTTGCCAGTGTGTTGCCAGGTGCAATGCAAGATGCTGGTTATTACTTTAAAGCCCTTTATGGCTTGGGACCATGTTATCTTAGGAACTATCCTCTCCCAGTTATTTCTACCCATCCAATTTGGTCATAGTTTGGCATATTGCTGATCCTGTCAGTCAAGGAATGTTGGTTGGCAAGAACTTGAAAAGAAATCTTGAACTTTGCTATTAGATATGTTGACAGCAATAAGAATGCTTTATTGCTCTCCCTCCCTCCCTCTCTCCTTCCCTCTCCCCCCCTCCCCTGCTGTAATTGCTGCTTGTTGACTTCTATGGTGTGGTCCGCTGGGAGCCTGCGAAGATGGCAGCAGAGTCGGACAGTGGGGAGGAACATGGAGCAGATGGGTAGTCTGGGGAGGACTTGGATGAGGGTCCTGCATCTGGTACAGAGATGGGACCAGGGCCATCTGGGAGTTATGTGCTGACTCCGGAGCCTCCAGAATCTGACAGCAGCAAGGCAGAGGAACAAGGGGAATCTGTTCCCAGTGCAGAGTTGCCAGAAGACAAGAACAGTTAAGACAAAAGGGGCAACTCAGGAGTAAGGCTTGGAGGTGATTGGCCCTCCCATAAGACATAAAGGAGGAGCAAAGGGACAGGAACCTTTGCAGGAAGCAACTTCATTCGCTCTGTTCAGATTAAATCTTGAAGCTCTGTGTGGACTTTGTACTCCATTTGGCTTTTTACAGTTAATTTGGCACTTTAGTTGTCAGTAATTCAAAGGAGATAAAGGTGGGTGCTTATCTCAAGAGACTATTTGGGACTCATTATGGCTGGAAATGAACATAATTCCCAGCTGTTGAAATAAAAAGAGGGTTGTTTGGACTTAGTGTGTGATTAATTACGGTCTCAGGAAGCCTTGATCAGAATAGTTTGCTTCCTGACCAAACAAAACAAAGTTGCTTCTTGCAAAGGTTCATGTCCCTTTGCTCCTCCTTTATGTCTTATGGGAGGACCAATCACCTCCAAGCTTTACTCCTGAGTTGCTCCTTTTGTCTTAAGTGTTCTTGCCTTCTGGCAGCTCTGAGCATGTGTGCACTGGGAACAGGCTCCCCTTGTTCCTCTGCCTTGCTGCTGTCAGATTCTGGAGGTCCCGGAGTCAGCATCTAACTCCCAGATGGCCCTGGCCCCATCTCTGTATCGGATGCAGAACCCTCATACGAGTCCTCCCCAGACTCCCAGACTGGCCCATGTTCCTCCCCACTATCCGACTCTGCTGCCATCTCCGCAGGCTGCCGGTAGACCACAACATTCTGTTTATAGTACGTGTATGTATAGTACACTGCTCAAAAAAATAATGGGAACACAAAAATAAGACATCCTAGATCTGAATGAATGAAATATTCTTATGAAACACTTTGTTTATTATATAGTTGAATGTGCTGACAACAAAATCACACAAAAATTATCAATGGAAATCAAATTTAGCAACTCATGGAGGTCTGGATTTGGAGTTACACTCAAAATTAAAGTGGAAAAAAACACTACAAGCTGATCCAACTTTGATGTAATGTCTTTAAAACAAGTCAAAATGAGGCTCAGTAGTGTGTGTGGCCTCCACATGTCTGTATGACCTCCCTACAACGCCTGGGCATGCTCCTGATGAGGTGGCGCATGGTCTCCTGAGGGATCTCCTCCCACACCTGGACTAAAGCATCCTCCAACTCCTGGACAGTCTGTGGTGCAATGTGGCGTTGGTGGATGGAGCAAGACATGATGTCCCAGATGGATTAGATCAATTGGATCAATTGGATTCAGGTCTGGGGAATGGGCAGGCCAGTCCATAGCATCAATGCCTTCGTCTTGCAGGAACTGCTGACAAACTCCGGCCACATGAGGTCTAGCATTGTCTTGCATTAGGAGGAACCTAGGGCCAACTGCACCAGCATATAGTCTCACAAGGGGTCTGAGGATCTCATCTCGGTACCTAATGGCAGTCAGGCTACCTCTGGCCAGCACATGGAGGGCTGTGCGGCCCCCTAAAGAAATGCCACCCCACACCATTACTGATCCACTGCCAAACCAGTCATGCTGGAGGATGTTGCAGGCAGCAGAACGTTCTCCACGGCATCTCCAGACCCTGTCACGTCTTTCACGTGCTCAGTGTGAACCTGCTTACATCTGTGAAGAGCACAGGGCGCTAGTGGCGAATTTGCCAATCTTGGTGTTCTCTGACAAATGCTAAACGTCCTGCACGGTGTTGGGCTGTAAGCACAACCCCCACATGTGGACGTCGGGCCCTCATACCACCCTCATGGAGTCTGTTTCTGACTGTTTGAGCAGCCACATGCACATTTGTGGCCCGCTGGAGGTCATTTTGCAGGGCTCTGGCGGTGCTCCTCCTGGCCTTCCTTGCACAAAGGCGGAGGTAGCGGTCTTGATGCTGGGTTGTTGCCCTCCTACGGCCTCCTCCATGTCTCCTGATGTACTGGCCTGTCTCCTGGTAGCGCCTCCATGCTCTGGACACTACGCTGACAGACACAGCAAACCTTCTTGCCACAGCTCGCATTGATGTGCCATCCTGGATGAGCTGTACTACCTGAGCCACTTGTGTGGGTTGTAGACTCCGTCTCATGCTACCACTAGAGTGACAGTACCGCCAGCATTCAAAAGTGACCAAACCATCAGCCAGAAAGCATAGGAACTGAGAAGTGGTCTGTGGTCACCACTTGCAGAACCACTCCTTTATTGGGGATGTCTTGCTAACTGCCTATGCTTTCCACCTGTTGTCTATTCTATTTGCACAACAGCATGTGAAATTGATTGTCAATCAGTGTTGCTACCTAAGTGGACAGTTTGATTTCACAGAAGTGTGATTGACTTGGAGTTACATTGTGTTGTTTAAGTGTTCCCTTTATTTTTTTGAGCAATGTATATATTTTTTTCTAGATAAAACCACTATTTATTACAAACCTCTGTTTGCTATTATTGCTCCCGGGTTGTGTCACATAGTAAAGCTGTGTACACTCTGACATTTATACACACAAAAGATACTTTAATTTTCACAATGGATGCATGGCTTGAAAGCTAATATAACTAGCAGAGATGGCTAAATTAACTGCTTTAATCCAAGAAAAGAACACATTCAACGTTATTTCTGCAGATAACCCATTTCTGGATTTTATGCTTGAGTTAGAAAAAAAAATGAAACTTTGACTTTGGGTTTTGCTGATTAGATATGTTTGTTGTTATAGAATGGCTAGTACATATTTATGTATTATGTATGTATAAATATGTAAAAGTGAAAAGCATTTTCTTATATTAAAGTAGTCAGTTTTAAAAAGTAAACTTTTATATTAATATTTTAGTGAAGTACTGGTGATTTATTGAAAAAATACATAATTTTATTAAATATAACTCTTGCAACATAAATATCTTATTTTCTTACTACTTTTAGAAACCAGAGATGAAAATGGCAAGACGGAAAGATCTGACAGTCTTATTGTAAAGAAAATAAAGAAGAAGAAGAAAAAGAAACATAGAGAAGACATGAGAGGGAGGCATCTGAAAATGTACAACAAAGAAGTACAGACAGTGTGTGCTGGTCTTACCCGTATCAGCAAAGACACTTTGACTCCAGGGGAGAGTGATAATTTGGAAGAGAACAAGGAATCTTTTAGGTATCTAAAAGACGAACAGCTGTGTCAGTTGAATGTGGGCATGGAGGAATATAGGATACCCCAGGGGGTGCAGTCTCCATTTACTACTCACCAGGAGCATTCTGTTCGCAACAGCTTCTTAAAAACAGGCACTAAATTTAGTAATTTTATTCATGAAGAACATCAATCAAATGGAGGAGCTCTAGTTCTTCATGCCTATATGGATGAACTCTCATTTTTGTCTCCAGTGGAGATGGAGAGATTTGCAGAAGAGTTTCTTGCTTTGACATTCAGTGAAAATGAGAAAAATGCAGCTTATTACGCTCTAGCGATAGTTCATGGGTCAGCTGCATACTTGCCAGACTTCTTGGATTACTTTGCTTTCAATTTCCCTAGCACTCCAGTGAAAATGGAAATCCTTGGTAAAAAAGATATTGAAACAACCACCATTTCAAACTTTCACACTCAGGTAAGAGAAATTTCCCGATATGCCTGAATTCTAATTTGAATCTGGTATTGATTGTAAGAAATATTACGCAGAAAGCTGAAATCCAGAATGCTGTTAGTGTCCAATTGCCGTTGCACACTGTGTGTCAAATACAGTTCAATATTACCTTCACACATTTCACATTCCATTGTTCCCTTCCTCTATAAGGAATAGTATTATTTTTAAATTTTAAGACCTAGATATAGTATGCTTTTACTGGTAATTTGAGTCTTTGGTGCCATCTCAACCATAAGGATTGCATTGTTGAAAAATGGCTGATGAGAATGTCCTAGTCTCCAAGAGCAAATATCTAATTGCACTTAGTATAAAACAGATTTAAGATTTAAGTTTTAAATGATGGAAAACAGAAATTGCCATCACAAAGAATAGAAAAGTTTTGCAGAAGAAAAGTAATGATACTCAGACTATCCTTTCTGCCACCTCACCCCACAAATCCTGCATTCTTTTACCTTCATTGGTTTGTGGAAGAGGTTAGGGAGGGCATTATCTTCATGGTTTTTATTTATTTCATTAAATTTAGTGTTGCCCAAGTCCAAATGATTTTGGATCGCCCACATTACAATACAAAGAAAGAATCCCCACCCCCCCCAAAGGAAAGAATAAAAAAAAAAAACATGGTGAAGCTGGTTGACACTTCAAAACATCCCACCAATATCCACCATCCACCATCCATTAGAGAACTCTTCAGTCACCATACCTATGCATTGTTCCTGGATGTTTCTGTACAGAATAATAAAGTTCAGGCCAATTTTATTAAGAGGGTGGATTTTTGGCCAAATAAATACATGTTTTTAACTTCGTGGTTAAGTAGGCTTTTTTTGTTAACAGCATGTAAAAGAACTTGAGTCATACTCTTAACTGTATGCCTTATTGCACGGACTAGAATTTTTATTAGGTTTGTTTTCCTCTTCTGCTCTGAAATCCAAGTTTCATATTGAAATATCAAAGGCCTAGAATTTTTAGAGATTATTTTTTCCCTCAAATAGAAAATTCAATTGCTTCATGTCAGTTGTGAAGGTATATTGACAGCTACTTATCCAAGCAAAACAGAAGGATGTACTTGGAGCTGGAGATTAGGAATATATCTCTTCCTTACTCACTTTAATAAGAAACTACTATAGTCTAAATATTCATTTGACATTTACAGGAATAGTCAAAAATATTGGTACCCCTCCACTTTTTTTCAGAAGATCCCAGTTAATCATGAAATATGCTGAAACTGACACAATGTCATCCATCAATCTTTGTTCTCTAGTCCATAGAGCAGACACTTTGCCTTTGATATATGCCTATATATTTTCTTGCAAATAATAAAAACAAATGAAAATGACATGAGTATCATTAGTGGGACCTAATTCAATATTGCATAGCATACCTTTTTGAAATAACATCTGCAATCAAGTAATTTCTGTAGCTCTGAATAAGACATATATATTTCTCAACCAGCAATTTGTTCCATTCTTTTATAGCAAATTGGTCCATTTAAGTTTGATGGGTTCCTTCTCTCTTTCCATAGAGGTTAGATTGGATTCAGACAGGATACTTCAGAACAATCCAACTTTTGTTTTTCAGCTATTCTTGGGTTCTCTTAGATGCATGCTTTGGATCATTATAGTGCCAGAGGATCCATGATTTGTGACTGAGACATATTTTTCTAATATTGGGCATTATTTTTCCTCCAGAATATTTTGAAAAACTAATTTAATTGAGCTCTGCACAGATTCAAGGCACTTGGTATTGAACCTCCTCCATGTTTTACAATAGGAGTAGTGTGTTTTTTTTTCTTTAAAAGTATCATTTTTTTCCTTCAGTTAATACAGAGTTGCTGATTTACAAAAGGCTCTAATTTTGTTTCATTTTCTGGAACATTCTTCCAGAAGAACTTGTGGCCTTCAATGTGCAATTTATCAAACTCCCTTTTTTGTCTCTGTCTTTCAGAAGTGGAGACTTCATGGATTTTCTACCATGGAGGCCACTTTCAGTCATCTTTCAGTGATGGATTATTTGACTTGATATTGTTGCACCTTAGTCTTGGAGGTCAGCTGTGATCTGTTTTGAAGTTTTCCTGGTTCTTTTTCCACCATTTTATACAATCCTCATCAGTCTAGGTCAATTTTCCCCTTGCAGCTACATCCAAGGTGGTTGGTTGGCTTCAGTCCCATGAACCTTGATAAAATCAAAATAAACATGATAATATTAACAGGTCAGAAGAACAGGAAACTCTTTGGAGATGGTTTTGTAGTCTTTATCTTTAGCTCACTTGGCTTTTTCGTTTCCTTTCTGCTTTTCTTTGTTTTCTATGTTCACTATGCTGTGCACAATGACACAAAAAACTTGAGTACTTTTCTCCATTGTAATAGGCTGAATGACTGATTATGAGATTGAAGGCACTTGTGTTACTAATTAAAGTAAATAGTCTACTTGTGATCACTAAAATCCGATAATGCCTTCTAAGGGATAGCAATGATTTCATTTGCTTTATTATAAGAATATGTCCATACACACAAACTGTATTTTTACGGACTTTGGAATCAAGAATGGTAGATGCCATTTGCTTCTGTCAGTTTCAATTTACTTTATGGCAAATAGAGATTCTTTGAGGAAAAGTGAACAGGTACTGTAACTATATAACTAGGTACATATGCATTAATTAAACAATATTATTGTTGAACCATATAAACCATGTAATGTAAAATATTACATGTAGCATTTTAAAATGTGTAGGGATGAAATCCAGTTAAAGTTGTTATGATGTTTAAATTTCTCTTTCTTTTCTGAAAAAATTGTACACAACTGGCACACTATATCTTAAACTGAACTGCTGACATATAAATTGATCATGTTCCTTTATGTTTATGTACTAGACTAGCTTTGAACAAACGTGTGACTGCCTATTTCTTGTGGGTACTTGACATAATTCTACATCATGGATTAATTCAAAGAAATCACTACTTTAAAGTTAACGATGTATAGAAACTGCCCTTCCCGATAGATCCTTGTGGATTTGTTTTCTTAGCAAGGAAAGAAATCTAAAGTATTTTGATTATAGACTTTGGATTTTTGTTTAACTGTGGAATTGGTGAATAAGAAAATATCTCTATTTCACTTAGTACTTTAGTATTGCATCTTGTTATACTATCTTGCTAGAGATGAGGAAACATCTCACACATTTGCTTCCAGTTGGGTGTATTTACCTCTAATTTTTTTCAATTTGAGCGTCTGTTCTTGCAAGTTTACCATAGAACAGTTTTGGTCGTTCTTTAGTTTAGTTGTTTGGATTCTTTAAGAATATCTAGTTATTCAGTTTTTCATAGATGCTTTGGTATACTTCCGTCTTAGATTTTAAATGTTTTTATACATAGTTTATAAGCCTTAACTATAGCTTAATTTTTTTTATTCTAATTGCTGTATTACTGTTGTACTGATCTTTCATTGCACCACCATCCAGTGGTGGTATTCTACCGGTTCAGCCCGGTTCGACTGAACCAGTAGTAAAAAATGCTACCAGTTCGGCCCAACCGGTAGTAAAAAAAATTACGATGATTAGCTGGGCAGGAAATTGTGGGATTCTTGCTTTCTAGCTAATCTAAATCACGTGGCACAACTGATCCCCCCTTGCTTCAAAATGCTTCTTTTTTCAGCGTCCAGGAGGCTTCCCTGAGGCCCACTAGGCCAAAAACAGGGTGCGGGGTGGTGGTGCTGCTAAATAAAAAAAGAAAGAGAAATAAAGAGGGAGGTATGGCAGAAAGAAAGGGAGGGAGGGGAGAAAGAGAAAGAAAAAAAGAAAAAGGAGAGGAAGGAAGGGCCACAAACCTTGGCACTAGACGCAGCTTCAGAGGATGCTTTGAAACAGCACAGCAATCCAGGGCTGGAAGGTACCTGAAGGTCATCTAGTCCAACCCCCAGTCACATGACCACATAGCCATGCCCACCCAATCACATAACCACATAGCCATGCCACCAAGCCACCCCACTAAGCCACACCCACAGAACCGATAGTAAAAAAATTTGAATCCCACCACTTGCACCATCCTGAAACACAGGATACTGTACTTATTCTTTGATTAAGCAGAGTAAAGTTTGTATTTGTTGCATTCTTCTGTGCAATTTACCTGTAAATAAGAGGGTAATTTCAAGCTCAGATATTTGTATGTTCTGTATATAATCAGTGTCAACATTCTTGACTTCACAGGAAATTTATAGATTACTTTAATGCTGTGGAATAAAATAGTTTTGTTTTTTTCTCTATAAGGTCAGTCGAACGTACTGCTGTGGAACTTACAGAGCAGGTCCGATGAGACAGATCAGTCTTGTTGGAGCAGTAGATGAAGAAGTTGGAGATTATTTTCCAGAATTTCTTGATATGTTAGAAGAATCTCCATTTCTTAGAGTAAGTACTAAAGTTTACTTTTGCTGATTTAAGTTTTTACCAATGTTAGCACTAAATTGCTGGTAGAATAAAAAGTAACAAAGCATTATTAAACATTAAGAGAATAGTTAAATAGAAAAGGAAATTTGTGATTTTTGTCTAATTTTATTGTATGACAGAATGAAATAAATTATACTGAAAACATAAAATTCTTAATGACTGTGTACAAATTATATTTTAATAAAGAAATTGTTCATCTGTTTATAAGATGTCCAAAGCACTTCATGTCGCTATCTGACTAGTTTTCTTTTGTGACATACAGATGACTTTGCCTTGGGGTACTCTTTCAAGTCTCAGACTTCAGTGTAGGTCACAAAGTGATGATGGGCCCATTATGTGGGTAAGACCTGGTGAACAGATGATCCCAACAGCTGATATGCCAAAGTCACCATTCAAAAGGCGCAGGTAATCTTTTTAGATGGGAGGGAATTTGTACCTCTAAATTTTAATTTGCTGATCTTATCAGCAAAATTGGCTGTTTATTATTATGACAACTTTCTGAAACTTAGTTGACACGTGTAATTGTAAACTTTCCTTCCAATATAGTTGTGATAATTTTGTACATGATTTTTGTAATGCTGCCATCCCTTTCCCATCTGTCAATATCAAATGTTGTATTATAAACTCCCAGGATGCAAGTTTATGTTAGGGAATGCAATAGATATTGATGGAATAGCTATATAAATTAAAACTACAGTTTCCAGTTCAGTGCACCTAATATAAACTTTATTTGATTTAAAATATATTTTCATTCAGGTACTTATATTTACTGTTATATTGTCATGCTGTTTCTGTAGATGGTAAAATATTAAAATGATATTGAACTGTATGAAATCATTAGTGTTTTAAGAGCAAGACAGTAAAGACTCTCTGTGTCGTAGCTGCACATTGTTACATTATTGGTTAGTTTGATATCCTGTCTTTACTTCAGGAGCTCAAGGCACTGTGCATAGCATTCTAGTGTGGGTTCTCCTGGTGCCTTTGAACTCTCAATTTGCATCAGTCCCGGTGAAGGTTCTGGAAGGCTGCACACTGCCAACTTTTAAGTTCATTGAATTTCTGCGATGTAAGCATTTGTTGTCTGTGTATTATATTTAAGCTGTGAAAAAGTTGAAGTTATCTGCAACACTTTTCTTTCAAAAGGCCTACTAATAGTACATAGAATAATCCCTGGTATATAACATCTGCATAAACTTTTTAAAAAGTGGCCTTTTACTGTTAATCCTTTACTGTTTTCCATTTTAATTAATATTGCATTTGATTATATTAGAATTAAATCCCCACTTATCGAAGTAGTGCCTGTATAATGATGTGGAAAAGTTAGGATAGCTGATTTTCTGTTTTTATGACATTACTTTTTGTATAGCCCCTTCATAAATTTAATAATTATTTTCTTTTTCATTCCATTTCATAGATCTATGAATGAAATAAAAAATCTCCAGTATCTACCTCGGACCAGTGAACCCCGTGAAGTTCTATTTGAAGACAGAACAAGAGCGCATGCTGATCATGTTGGACAAGGGTTTGATTGGCAGAGTACAGCTGCTGTTGGAGTTTTAAAAGCTGTGCAGTTTGGTGAATGGTAAGAGTGGGGGTTTATAGCATTTTAAAATAGAGATGTGCTGATTTTTAACAGAGCATATGTTATATTAATGTTTCTGTTACAAGGCATTTTTGCTATACATTCTTAAAATCCAAATTAATCAGGAAAATCTAATCTTTGAAAATTCCCGGAATGGTTTTTTTTTTTTAGTGCAAAAGGAGTTGCTTTCATAGTACAGTAAACTTGTTTGTAGAAGGATATTTTGAGATGGCATATTTGGGATGAAGTCTTGAATTGAGGCCCATTTGAAAGTCAATTCTGTGGAAGCTGCAAAAAGTATTCAATTATATGCCTCCATAAAACTGCTACAGTACAGGCTGTTGTTCTTTGTATACTTGTAAGTCATATCCTTTATCAAATTGGTAATGGGGAATCACAGTTGGATTAGACAGTGGTTTGCTGTGAGCAGTTCACATTGTTGTATCACTTTCTCTGTACATGAGCTCCCTTAAATCAGGAACCATTGTTGGGGCAAATCCAAGGAATATAATCTTTAATCGTATCAAACATTGTCCTGTCTTTTGGGATTCTTTTTGATTTCTGAGCTTTAAGGATTTAGACAATGTTGTAAAGAGATGTAGACTACTGTATTGAACCTTGACTTCCGGACCTATTAAATCACAACTGGTCCTATATTAAGAAATATGATCAGTGTACACTTGCAACTGGGATCCTACTGCTTAAAGTGACAGATAGAAGAACTTGACTGAAGAAACCTGGGGAGCTACATGCCAGCATTGGACATTCTATGTTATGGAATTAGAGCTAATTCCATAACATATATGGCATTTTTCTAAATGGCTAATGATGCCTTCCCTGAAAGATGTGGTGATGTGCCTCCTCGATCAGGCTGCTGTATGTCACCATCAGTCCTAATGGACTAGGGTAGTATAAAAATACAATAAATAAACCATCGTAAAGGAAGGGAAATAAATGGTATTTTATATATACATGAGTTTACATGTCCCATAATATATAAAAAGGAAATATTTCCTAGAGGTTGATGAGAACATTGTTTTGCTATTGAATATGTGGAATTTTCAAAGTTTAACTAATATTCTCAAACATATTTTTACAATCTTCATTTCTCCAGGAGTGACCAGCCTCGTATAACCAAAGATGTTGTTTGTTTTCATGCTGAAGATTTCACTGATGTAGTTCAAAGACTTCAGTTGGATCTGCATGAACCTCCAGTATCACAGGTAGTCTTACACATTATTTCCATTTAAATGCTGTTATTTTTTTCCTGAAAGTTTTCTTTGTTGATCCTTGATTATGAAATAAAGTCTCCAGAATAACACACACATGCTTGAAATGCATAAATAAGTGGGGGTTGGGAGGTGTATTAGGTCATGTTTCTTTAAAGAGAAACAGTTCCTCAAACTAGCATAACCCCATCCTCTTAAAAAAAGGTTTCCTCATTGTTTTCTTCCCAAGAGAAGAAGCCATCAGTTGTTTGTGAGTAAGACAGGTTTTGCCTGGACTTTTGTCCATAAACGTGTCCATTATTTTTTTTAGCAAAGAGTGAACTAGTATGAATAGTAGAAGCAAGATTTCTTAAGCTTGGTTCAGGCTTTAAACCATGTTGATTTCAGAAGTCATTTTATATTTAAATATTTGCTGTTTTAAATAGATTTTTGCTATACTTTAAGATATTTTTGTTTTATTTGTGTGGTATTATTCTAAAGTGTTTTGAAAAGTAAGATATAAATTCTGAACAGAGTACTGGTTCTATAGACATGCTTAGATGTTCATTGTGATAAGAAAGGCCAAAAAAGAATTGTCATACTTGGGTTAAATTTTAGATTAAAGTTTTTGACAGTTCCTTACCTTGGTCCCACTCAATATTTAAAAAAATAGTTATAATTGTTTATTAACACTCCAAATTGTTTGATTGATTGCTTCCTATTAGAATGGGAATTTCCTTTATTTGATCTATTAGCATAGTAGTTTCAGTGTCATTTAAACTTCATGTTGACTTCATCACAACAACTGGTCTTTATGACTTATAATAATATACAGCACCAAAAATACAATTTTTTAATCTTACTCATAGTTATCTCTTTTCTTCCCTTCAGTGTGTTCAATGGGTTGACGAAGCTAAGCTAAACCAAATGAGACGAGAAGGGATTCGTTATGCCAGAATCCAGCTATGTGACAATGACATCTACTTCATCCCTAGAAATGTCATTCATCAGTTCAAGACAGTGTCAGCTGTCTGCAGTTTAGCTTGGCATATAAGACTCAAACAATACTATCCTGGGGCAGAGGATTCTCAGTGTATGGAAAACATTTCAAATATGGACACGGTGAAACTGGAAAGTGAAGACCAATGTGTACTTATGAAAAAAGAGTCTGAAGAAGAAAGAGAAGTGCAGACTGCAACAATAGCATCACCACCACTGTTTTCACCCCTGTCATGACTTGTTCTGCAACAAGATTAGCTGGTTGCTCCTTCCAGCTTTTAAAACTAGAGTCAGATCAGCAACACAATCCACAGAAGGATCATATACTCTTTCTTGTCTGATATGTACATAATCATACATTTTTAAACAGCTTTTTAAAATTTTGATGTGAAGTTATAGTTTTATAACTGGGTTATGTTTTATTGGAGAAAACTTGCCTATAATTCTATAAAGAAAGGTGACATTCCAAAATGTCAAGCGTATCTTTTTTACACAGATTATGCAAAGTTAGAGTTGTATTTTATTCCCTTAGTACAGCATGTAGTAGTGGACTACAACTTTTTGCATTTCTTTTTTTAAGGGATGAGGTAAATAATTCAACATCTCAATACTTTTCCTTCAGGAATATCAAGTATTTAACACTTGATAAGTCTGATAACTTTTCATCTATTTTATCTTTAGCTTTCAGCATAAAAGGGATGGTTTCTGTGGCAGATTCACAAAGTGACTCTCCCTCCCATTCAATTAATGGCTTGAATGAAAGAGAAAGCACAGCACTTTTAATGATCAATGACATTTGTATGTGTGAGAGTTTGAAAGCCTGGAGGAAGCTCAAGTTACCAGCAGTGTAGATTAATCCTTAATTGCTTAAGAAGACATTCAGTAAGAAGTTGATGTATGAGATTAGTTGCAGAGTGTATGATCTTGTTGAAATGAAATTACCGATACAACTCTTTCGTGGTCCTCTGCTTTTAATGTATATTGGAATATTTTTTTAATATCTTTCCGAACTGCATAACTTAATACACTAGTGTCTAATGAAAGTAATTGTTAGCAGTCTCTTCGATGAAACTGCTATCTTTGAGCACTTTAAGGCTTTACAATATTTAAACCAACTTGGTGGCTTGTTTAATTCACAGTAGGCATCTTAGAGGGAAACCATCAACTCCTTCGCATTGAGGCACTTAATATAATAGGGCAGGCCTATATCTCCTTTATTCTTTGAAATTATATATAACTGATTCACAATAAACTGTCACATAATCACATATGGATTGCTACTTTTGCAAGTAATTCTTGGATTCCTTAATGCTATATTGGAAGATTAAACAGCACATATTAGTATATTCAGTATAATTGGCTAATGTTATTTAGCATTCCTTTAATATTTCCCAGCATTAAATAGTTTCAGCTTTAAATTCATTGTATACAGAACAATGCTAGTTTTGAATAGTAAAATGAAATTGCCCCCCTCATATGTAGGATCTGAACTTTATCACGATTTAATCAAATTTATTTGTATTTTTTAATCTGTTTTTAATGTAGAAGAGAATGGGAGTGCTACACCAATGCAAGTCAAGAAAGCAGTCGTGGGAAAAATGCAAATATTTGTATGTTTGTAATAGCAATTACTTTGTGCAATATTGTTTTGTGTAGATTATATGCATATTAGCACCTCAGTATAGAGGACACAGTTTTAAACAAATAGCAAAATAATCAGAAAACTTTGCAGTATTTAGATAGAACTTGTATTACTCCTGATATATACATGTTTATGTATTGACTTTGGTGCAGTCCTGAAGACTAGTAGAAAAATTTTCAACAAATTGAATTTCCATATTGAAGTGGTAGGGACTTTCTAAATAATCTGTGTAAATAAGGTGTTTAGGTTGAAACCTTTTTACAAAAGGTAGTGAGTTCTTATACAGGAGTGTAGCTTTTAATGAAAAATTCTAGACTGATCAATACTGGTTCAGAAAACCTCTGTGTACTCTTGCTTTTTACATTTTTTTTACAGTTATCCAGAATTTTCAAAAGCTGTAGCTGGCTGTCCTAAGTAAAATTCTTCATAGACAATATGGGCTTCAGTACTTCATTTACGTTTCACCAACTCCACATTTTTGCATTTTTCTTCCACTAATTTTCCTCGTCTTCCAAACTTCAATTTCCCACAGTTAAAGTTATGTAAATAACAAATACAACTCCAGATGTGTCACTTGGATATTTCAACTGCATTGAATTGCACTGTGTGCTATATGATCACTCAGGAGTTGGATTTAAAAAATAATTGAATGAAAAACTGTTTATTACTTCGCTTATCCTGTTTTTGAAATATACATTAGAAAATTATTTCAAATTCTACAATCTAGTAAGACATAGAATAAGATGAAAATAGTAGTTGGAATCTAAACTTGCTCCTTTGAGAGCAGAATGAGGTTTTTCTATTGGCAGAGGGAACCAGGATTCAGAGAATCCATTCAGCTAGAGGAAAAAAGTTTCCCAATTCTCCGGAGCATTTCTTCATTAGGGGAGGAGAAGAATTGGCAAAAGAAAAGAATTGGCCAAAATTACCAATACCCATTTTTTTTCAATGTGAACTCCATTGTGCATAGGTCTGGATCCAGTTCAATAACCTTAAAGGGTTTTTTGTGTGCATCACGTTATAGCAATAGGCTTACAGGATAAGCCTTTTTTTAAATTAAGAAACAACCTACTAAAAGTATGTGAAATGAGTATTCATGACTTTGCCATTCATGAAAGATTAAAAAGATTAAATAAATGATTCTGAAGCAGCATCCCACATCTTTCCAGTTCAAGAGTTTTGTGTCAAAATTTTATGGTATTATGTATAAATGTATTCAACTTACATTTCAACCATCAAATATATTTTCTGTCACCTATTTTGATTTAATAATACATATAGTCTTTACTGCAATTACTTTGGCCACATCTTTACAACAGTTAAAAAGTATGAATTGTCACTATTACTGCATTCCCTAGCAAATACCAAAGAAGTCTGGGCATGAATTTTGGTGTATCTGCCAGGACTCTGCTTATTTCTCTTTATGCCTATAGTTCACCTCATACTGCTAGACTGTTTTTCCTAGAAACTCCTGAGATTCAGAATTTAAGTTTTTTCAGGAGTACGAAGAAGGCTCAGTCAGAAAGCCTAGTGCATGCATCTCACTCTGGCTCAGTGGTTAAGATTCTTATTATAGGAACAGTTAAAAAAAAAGCACTACAACTGATGTACTAATCCATGTATATTCTAGAGTAAGAAAGACCGATACAAATACTTGAGTGAAAAATAATCATAATAGACCTGAAAAAGTGAGTGGCAGAATGGTTTGACTTAATGATTTTGTTTGAGAACATATTTGCTCTTGGAGTAGAAAAGATGAAAATTAATGTCTCAGGAAGATGTGGGGAGTGATTTGTACTGATGTGATGAATTCAAAATGATTATCTTGATACTCTAATGCCTAGTTGCATTGCAAAGGGAATTCACTTAAGCCTGACAGGAAATATTATTTTATACATTGCAAAATATGTGGACATTATATAATTACAAAATCAAATGAAGAGTAAAGGCAGAAAAATCTTTACATTTATTTTATTAGAAATATAGACAATTTGGGAAGACGTTTCTAATCTATACAATTGTTGAATACTAGTTAAGCATTCATTATATTTTATCTTTCAAATGCCATTAGCAGATCCACAAAGGTAGTTCTTATTTAAAGATCCTGAGCAGCTCTTAAGTTGGAAGCTGGGTAATTTCTTTTGTTTTAGTAAAAATCTATTTCTTTTTAAAAACCAATGAAAAATACGTATTCAAGACAGGTTGTACTGGGCTACTGATTCATTTAGCAAATCAATAAAAGCAAAATTAACATTTAAGTGAATTAAATATTTCACATTCTCCCTCACATATTTCTGAGCATGAAGTAATGTGTAAATAATTGACATGTTCTCTTCCATGAAGATGGAACATATGGAGGTTTCATGTGAAATTTAGGAATACTTCCATTACAGATTTTATCATATAATAAAAGGGCTCGTTAGCTGTTTTCCTATTTTTGAGGTTATAACGTTTGTCCAGAGGCAAGAAAGTTTATAGTCAGAGCCCCAAGATGCATATAACTTTTTTTTCCTCTCATGCTGCCATTCATATGCTTGAATTTATTCTGGGTGGTGAATTATCTTCACTTGTGGCACAATCCAACCAAAGTTAAGCATCTATAAGTCCCATTTATTTTGAAGGGTAGATAAGCAGGTGCTTAATTCTCCATTGAAATCAGTGGAACTTTAAATGTGTTTACTCTTGGTGGGATAGCACTCTTTTTATTTCCTTATAAATGCTATTTATAGCCATATTGGTTGTGTTTGAAGGTTGCTATGAATAAGGATATTTATCCTTCAGCTCCTAAAATTTTTGTAATGTGGATAAACTCTATGTTGGTCCAATAAACAAATTTCCAATAATGTTATGGCCTTCCATTGATATACATAATATTTTTAGGACTCAACAGCACATGTAGTTGATAAGGGGCTTCTTTTAATCTAGCACTTTCAATTCTGTCTAAGCAAATACTTATCTTTACATGTTGTATAAAATAGATTTGTGTAGTGTTTTGTGATTAAATTCAGTTTTGATTGGCAGCTAAGATATTTTTCTGTGGTTTTAATAATCTAAGGTCTTTGCATATAAAGGATATGTACAATTGCCTGGAAGACTGTTTTTGTTTTTTGCTTTGTGTGGCCTTAGTATATTTATTGACATTTGAGCAAGTGTTTTAAAGAAGTTTTTATAATAGTGTAAACTGATGGGAAAATTTTAACCCTTTCTGTGAATAATCCTTTGACACAGTGCATTTCTTTTGGTAGGTGACTGTACAAGCGTATCACTGTCAAAGCTATTTGTTTAAAAAAAAAGTACAATGGAATGCATAGAATTTTTCCCCTGTAAAGTATTTTTTTAATAAACAGAAGTCTGATTTGTGCTTAATTAAAATGCCTGTTTGGTAGAACCCTGTGCTACAGAATATTGGGTACAATGGAATAAATGGTAGCTTTTGATTAGAAAAGTGGGATTAAAATAAGTGAAGTTGGATAAATAATAAAAAGTAAGGTATAAGCTACTTCAGGGCAAAACTTCTAAATATGGCTTCAAAAAGTAATTTGTTTAATGTATGTGGCAAGATTGTTTTGGAATCATATAGTACAATTATCAAGATTATACTTCAAACTATCTACTTCTAATCTGTGCTCTTTTTCTGAGCATTCTCATGTAAGCTGTTTTTAATCTTTGCACCTGATCCTTGTTTTCTTTAAATAGACTGGTATCTATCTTTATTTCAATAAGGGAAAGATTCTTTCAGAATTTGAACAGCTCGCCCTTTTTATTAAGATGTAAACTGTCTTTACTTTTTTCTTGTCCAAAGTTTTTTTTCATCCCAGGGAATGTTTTAGCAGATCCCAATACTAGATTCAAGCATAACAGGAATTCCTATTTTCCCTATTGGCTAGTATTAGCAAGGAGAGGGTCTTGACTGGATATATTTCTAGATATCCCTCCCTCCCTCCCTTCCTTATGTAAGATGGGCACATTTAACTGAAGTTTTGTGTTCAATGTTACTGTAGATTTGATATCTCAAAGTTTCTAGAGAAAATAAATCCTGAACACAGAAGTGCTTTAAACCGACTGCTGTATCACAAATTGTAAATTTCTGTAGCTCAGTGAAGCAGAGACAAAGCAGGAGATTATGAGGGAATGTTATTCCCTTGATTCTTCCTCTTGCTTAAGTATAAACTCTTTCTTAACCTTGCTAACATCCAAATGTGCAAAATTCAAATCCCTCCCCAAATAGCATCATCACTGCTGAGAATTTTGGGACTTGGGAGTCCACATACCAAAATGAAAAACACCAGTTAAAGTGTTATTTATGCTGTTTATGGAATGACAAGTTGTAAAATGTTTGATGGAATGGAAACATTATTTCCTATAGTTTCAATACTTATTTAACAATAGATAGGCCTTCTTTCCCTCTTTAAATTGTTTCCTAGCGTCTCTAATATTGAAAATTGTAAGCTAACAAGCTCAAACTGGATGATGACCCATTTTCACCTGAGAGCAACCCTATTGTCCAAGTGGACAAAAATAGAAGACAATACGTTTTGCTGCATGCTAGTTTTATCTATGGTTACTGCTTTCAAGAGACTCCTGGGTAATGAGGCAGGAATTTACTGGCAGTAGCTGGTGTTTAGAGATGTGCTGAGAAGAATATGAAATGGAAAATAGCCTCAGAGCAGTCATTGATATAATGACCAGGAGATAATATAACAAAATTCTAATATCACCATCACAGAAGGAATGACAAGCATTTATAGATATTCCTTTTTGACTGACTTTTTGACCTTATATTATGGAAATCAAAGCAACAGTGAAGCAACTGTTCTGTTCTAATTGTCTGCTCTTCAGTGTGGGATAAACAGTGGGTAAACCTAAATCAGGATTTAATCATGGAGGAAGCTGCTATGTACGTTTTGAGACCTGAGAAATTTTTCTTTTTCCATCACTACTTGTTAGACTGTTATGCGATGAAGCAGGCTAGGGTTAATGGTAATAATCTGTAGGAAGCTTTAAGAATTTGTAGGACCTACATCTATATTTGTATGGCAGGAACACTAGGGATATCACTGTATATAGTGTTATCTACCCTATGGCTTAGTCTTATACTGTATAACATCCACACTGAGATTCACCCATCTACAATACTGTGACCTCTGTGACATTAAACATTACCCTATACACGCAGCGAGGTAAATTATGGAATTTCTAATTGGGAGTGCTGATGATGCTGCAGCCGATGGGTGTCAGTCAGTGGACACTTCCTGAGTCAGTTTTAGTTTTGTGACAGACATTAAATTGCTGCATGGATATAAAAAAAAAACACCCTTGAAATATCACCCAGGTATCAGTTAAAATTTCCAGTTGATTTATATAGCAGAGGCAACAAGTGTGCTTGACACCATCAACTTTCAGGGGACGGCAATTAATTTTCCCAAGCAGCCACACAAACTGTTGTGGAGGGTCACTACTGCTCCACTTTTCACTGCTACTGCAGCCTGGACAGGGACAATCAAAGAGCTAAATGTCGCTTACTGGCTGCAGAATAACCAGGTCTGGCATAAGTGATATTTCCCTCATGCAGACCAAAGGCCTTGGTTCTCAAGATAATTTGGAGTGATAACACAGATGTAGTTACCTAGTACACAGGATGAAGGTGCATCTGGTCCTCTCTCATGCCAGCAGAAATAGTGAAGTGTGCAATGGAGTCTCTACAGTGGTGGGATTCAACTTTTTTTACTACTGGTTCTATGGGCGTGGCTTGGTGGGCGTGGCAGGGGAAGGATACTGTAAAATCTCCAGTCAGAGGCCTATTTGCCAGTTCTCCAAACTACTCAAAATTTCCTACCGGTTCTCCAGAACTGGTCAGAACCTGCTGAATGCCACCTTTGAGTCTCTACCTCCATTGCAGCTGCCCAAAACAGGTTGGAATGTTTTTTTGTCTATGTTTGGAATGGACTAAAAATAGGGATATTGAAATGGAATTCCCACTACCTTGAAGAAAAGGAGAGCATATTGGTTGTTACTATTTGCTTTTTCCAGCTTTTAAGTTTTAAGGATATGAGCAGAATCTGAAATGGCAAAGGGCTATCAGCTGTTTTAATAAATCTTTGCCTCTTCTAATCAAATGGGACTGAATTAGGGAAGTGCTCAATGTGTCTGCTCAGCGGATGTATTTCCCCTTCCCTAATAAAAATTAGAAGACTTTTATTGAGATTTTGAAGAAAATACAGTCTCAAATTGCACGAACATTCGCTTTTGGGAAATTAAAGAAGAAACTTGTAGATCATTTGTTAGCTTAATTGATGTGTGAAGTATTTCCCACTCTCCCACACGTCCCCTCGTTTCTTTGTATTGAATTAGAACGTTTAACCCGAAGAATGGTTTGCAGGCTTTACCTTTGCATAACTAACTCCATAAAATCCTTACCTGCATCTGTCTATACCAGTGGTCTCTCCAACTTTGGCAACTTTAAGACCTGTGGACTTCAACTCCCAGAATTCTTTAATACTTGTGGGCTTCAATTCTGGGAATTGAAGCCCACAAGTCTTAAAGTTGCCAAGGTTGGAAACCCCCGATCTATTCTATCGACGAAAAGTTCCCAAACCCTTATTTATGTCTTTATTAATAGATTTTAGCCTGTCACATTAAATTTTGCTCTTTTTAAGAGCATAGCCTGGATTC